CCCGCCCCTTCTGCTCAAGGCCCCGCCCCTTCCAGGAGCACAGCACTCCCCCCCCTCTTGCCAGGGGCCCGGCCATGCTGTCGGCCGCCCTGCTCGCTGGATGACGTATTCCCAGACCAGTGGTTCTCACGCTGTAGGACGGGCCCCAAAGGGGTCGTGACCCCAGTGTAACAGAGTCGCCGGGGCCTGGTGCTGAAGCTGAGGTCCAAATCTAATCACCCCCCAGCTCTGGGACACCCCCAGCTGCCGGCCTGCCCCCTCCACCTGGCTGGCCCCAGAGCTGCCCCGGGCTGCTGGCAGGTCTGAGTTCAGGGCCACCGGCTGGAGCTGGGCCCCTGGTGCCCAGCCTGCCTGAGGTAGGGAGGGGGGCTGGGCCGTGGGGCACAATATGGGCAGGGCCTTGGCCCCTGGCCTCTGATACCCATCGGCCATGGTCACTAGGGAAGAGCTGCAGCATCCGCAAGGAAAAGCAGAGCCCGGTGACGAACAGGGGCGCCCTACCCACCACGCATCGAGGATTTCCAGGCCAGCTCCTCAGCGTGGCTTCACTAGCTGCCTGCCTCAGAGTTTTTTTTACCAGGGGAGTCTTTATCCATGCTGGGCCTGCTTGTGCCACAAAAACACCAGAGTAGAAGAGACTGAATCTGCAGCCACCTTGAGGGGCAGGCACGTCTACTCAGACCATTTACAATTCTCTTTTTGTTAAGGTTCCTTTAACTCCAATGTCCAATGCACCCAGGGGAGAAAGAAATTCTTTGTTAAAAATTGCCTCGTGGTGTTCCAAACATGTACTTAACCACCGCCACTTGGCCTTCGCCAAATCCCAGGCCAGGCGTTCCCCAGGCTGACTGCGCGTTGTGTGAAGAAACGGTTCCCTTTGTTTATTTTAAATCTGCTGCCGGCTTGTTTCGTTAGGAGAGCCCTGCCTCGTGTTCCCAGGGGAGAAAGAAATTCTTTGTTAAAAATTGCCTCGTGGTGTTCCAAACATGTACTTAACCACCGCCACTTGGCCTTCGCCAAATCCCAGGCCAGGCGTTCCCCAGGCTGACTGCGCGTTGTGTGAAGAAACGGTTCCCTTTGTTTATTTTAAATCTGCTGCCGGCTTGTTTCGTTAGGAGAGCCCTGCCTCGTGTTCTGTGAAGCCACAAGTGACACTGCCCTAGTCTCTCCTGCCACACCAGCCATGGCTTCATAGAACTCGCCCTGCGTGCCTTTCCGCCGTCTCTTCTCCAGGCGGGAAAGCCCCAGCCAGTTCCCCCTCTCCTCGTGTGGAAGCTATTCCTTCCCCGGAGCGTTTCTGTTGCTCGTCTCAGTACGTTCCCCCATTCCAACGGAGGCTTGCTGAGCCGGGGTGTCCAGAGCGGCACACCGTATCCGAGGTGTAGTACAGCGTTTGGGGGGTGACATAAGCAGGGTGCATACACCTTGAACGCCGCATACGCCTGCAGGCTACTTCGCTTCCGTGGCTGTAGGTGCTGAGGGCCGACTCCTCGAGGATACTGAGGCATGGGACTCCCTTTGGGGGCCTTCCAGGCGCGTATGGGGCCACCTTCACAAACGCCTTGAGGCGGCAGGGGAGGGAGGGCCGGGGGTGAAGCGTGCGGGGTCTTGAGGGAAGAGGCGTGCGAGGGCGGGGATTCGGCGGACGGGGCGTGTGAGGGCAGGGGTGGCATGAGAGCAGACGCTCACAAGGGGCGGGCATGGGGCTTTGGGGGGAAGGGCCACGGTTTGGGCCACCCTCACTTTTAGGGATCGTCCCTCCCTCCTGACCCACCGCCTCCAGTTACCAGCGGGACAGTTTGCACAAGGGGCTGGGCAGATCCGGAAGCTGTAGGCAGCTTCCCCACAAGCAGTGCCGGCCCGGCTGTGCCTCCTCCTTGCAGCCCGCCCTGCGGGGTGAACACCCTGCTTGTCATCACTCACTGAGGGGACCCCTTTCTTACCACCCCGACAGGTGCAGCGCGATCCCTCCAGGATGGGCGACATGACGTTCGATGGCGATCTGTCCGACCTCTTCGAAGGCTACAACTACACGGACTACAACACCGTCAACCCCAGCGCCGCCGCCGCCCCGTGCAAGACCGACAGCCTGAACGTGAACAAGTACGCGGTGGCGGTGGTCTTCTGCCTGGTGTGCCTGCTCAGCCTGGTGGGCAACTCCCTGGTGGTGCTGGTGATCAGCTACAACCGGCAGCACCGCTCGGTGACCGACGTCTACCTGCTGCACCTGGCCATCGCTGACCTGCTCTTCGCCCTCACCTTGCCCTTCTGGGCCATCTACCGGGCCCACGAGTGGATCTTCGGCAACTTCCTTTGCAAAGCCATCTCAGTCCTGCAGGAGGCCAACTTCTACAGCGGGATCCTCTTGCTGGCCTGCATCAGCATCGACCGGTTCCTCGCCATCGTCTACGCCACCCGGGCCGCCACCGAGAAGAGGCACTGGGTTAAATTTGTCTGCTTGGGCATCTGGGTCCTCTCCATCCTGCTCTCGCTGCCCATCCTCCTCTTCCGCGAGGCCTTCCGGGCACCGCACGGCGGCGTGGTCTGCTACGAGCGCATTGGGGAGGAGCACACGGCCAAGTGGCGGGTGGTGCTGAGGATCCTGCCCCAGACTTTCGGCTTCATCCTCCCCTTGCTGGTGATGCTCTTCTGCTACGGCGTCACGATGAAGACCCTCTTCCAGACCAAGAACAGCCAGAAGCAGAAGGCCATGAAGGTCATCTTGGCTGTGGTGCTGGTCTTTCTAGTCTGCTGGCTGCCCTACAACCTTTCGCTGCTGGTGGACTCCATGATGAGGACCCGGGCCATCGCGGAGACCTGCAGCCGGCGGAACCACATCGACGCGGCCCTGTCAGTCACCCAGATCCTGGGCTTCACGCACAGCTGCATCAACCCGCTCATCTACGCCTTCATCGGGCAGAAGTTCCGCAACAGCTTCCTCAAGATCCTGGCCTACCACGGCCTCCTCAGCAAAGAGTTCGTCTCCCGCTACGGACGGGGGTCCTCCTTCGCCTCCACCTCTGGCAACACCTCCACCACCCTGTGACGGCCACGCCGCTCCTCCGCTCACCGGGGGAAACGTCCCACCGCTGCCAGCCCCAGCGGGTGGCTTCATTGCCTCAGGACGACGGGGACCATATGGATTCTTCTAGCACTATAGCCTCACTTTACCGTGCCACCCCCACCCTGCCGGCTCTTTGGTCCAGCCAAGACCGTTATGCAGGTTGCCATTATGCAGAACACAGCCGCAAAACGCAGCCCCCTCGCCTGGGGGTCATGCTAATGAAGACCCTTCAGCCCCATCCTGCAGGACAATCCGATTGTTCAGCCGCCTGGAGCATCCAGGCCACGCCCGTAACAAATAACTCCAGAACCCCTGAATTCCCAATCCCCTCGCACAGCGGGGTGTAGGAGCCACGTCGGAAAACCGCCCCTTCCCCCAAACAGAGTGTGGAAGAGAGTCAGAACGTGTGGTGGATGCAGCCATCAACACTAGTGGCTGGAGACCTAGTGTATTAGTGGGAATATTCTCCTTAACTCTGCCCTGCCGCTCCATTAGCCTTTCACATGCATTTTGCATATATCGCAAGGGGGACTGAGTAGGGTTTGATCTATTTTTTTTTTTTTAGGCATAGCGTTGAAAAATGTAATTTATCAAAGCATGCATAGCTGTGGTCACGTCAACATTTGATTTGTGCTCATTCGTTAAGACACTAATAGATGCTGCTTTAATGTGGAGGCGATCGCTTTATGACCTCATGTCCTAGGAAGTGTTTTTTGGGGGGAGGTGTTTAAACATTAACTTTGCATCTGTCGATTGCACCCCGGACGCGGAATCATTTCGCTGAGTCGACAAAGATTGTGATCGGAATGGCCTTAGCTAGACATGCTTCTATATCCCCGGGTCAGGCGCTGTAGAGAACCCAGAAGCTCTTTTGATGAATGTGTGATAGCTGAATTGTTGAAGTGTCTTTACATGTGTGTGTGACGGCGCGTCGGGGAGACCCCCCCACCCTGCACCCCTGTCCGCAGCCAGATCGCCAGCCCGTTTTATTGCTTCTCAGAGATACAGCACACACAGGCTCAATGTTGACATAGGAGCCAGGGCCGACAGCCTAGCCCTCTTGCGGGAAAGGGGTTCACAAGCCCCTGAATTCCTCTGTCCTGGACTTAGTCTGCCCTCCTCATGCTTGCCTCCAGCCAAAAGTGCTCAGCTCCGAGGCCCTGACCCCCAGCCAGCTGGCTGTCTCTGCCTCCCTTCCTTTGTCTCTCCCCCTGGGAAGAGCTTTGCTAACTACTGTGACGGCGCGTCGGGGTTCCCCCGTCTCCTGCACCCCCGGAGTGGCACGGACAGACTCCGCCAGCCAGTAGAACAGAGGGAGTTTATGGCTTCTCCAGGATACAGCACAGCACAGATGGAATCTGGTTATAGGGCAGGCCTAGGATGCCTCAGCCCCCCTTGAGATGGGGGAGCCTGGGCCCCTAAATTCCAGCCCCTTGCTTAGGCTGCCTCCTCCATGATACCAGCCAGAAACTCAAACTCTCCTCCAGCCCTGCCCCCCAGCCAGGTGCTGGTCTCCGCCCGCCTCCCTTTGTCTCTCCCTGGGAGGCTGAGCCGGGGTGTCTGGGTGAATCCACATTTGGGAGAGTCAGTGAGAATCTCCCATCGCAGCGCAGGGGGACCCCGGTCACAGAGCAGACAGCCTCCCACTGCGCCCCAGCTACCCAGGCTGGTACTCAGGTGTCTGGGCCACCACACAGCACAGCCAGCACACCGGGTTACAAAGCAGACAGCCCCCACTACGTCACAGTGTGCACCAGTATGACCTTTGGGTAAGTAAGCCAGGCAAGGGTTTTTTTTTTTTCACATGCAGTTGTGACCAAGTTGCCCGCCAGCTAAGACTCACTTTCAGTTTTAGTGGTGAAAACATGCTGGTGGCAGCATCAGCACTTTTCACGTCTAAAAATAAAACGATAAACCCTTGACCTCGACAGTTTCAGATCCCCGACCCTTTCCGCTGCAGATGGCAAAGATGTCACCGCCGAAGTTTCACAGCGTTAGAGGCCAACTCTTGGGGCGTCCGAAACGCGAGAGAATCGACTCGCCGGGAACGTTTGTCCGAAGTGATGACCGTGTGGGGACTCGAGAACCGTTTTGAAGTGCAGGGGGAACCTCCCAAATCCGGGACTCTCTGGTCCGGCAGGACCATGGATGTTGCTGGACCAAAGAGCCCTGGAAGCCAGGAGCTAGAGCCAGCCAGGAGCCGGGGGGAGCCCAAGTTTCAGGGAAGAAAGCCCCTGCAGAAAGGAGCCATTTTGCGCACTGCCTGCAATGTCCGGCCATGCGTGTGCAGAGCTAGACACCAACGCAGCCCTGGCAAGTACTGGCACAAGGCGGTGTTTGCCCTTCACCCCGTAGCCATCCTCCACAGCCCCGCATCCCAGTGACTGGGTCCCCAGCACTATGGGGAGGGGGGCTTGGGAGCGGCCCAGACAGTCGGGAGTGGGACGTCCTCCTTTCCCCAGCTCTGTGCTGTGCCTGGTGGGGACTGGACTCCTGACGGATTCTCTGGGTCTCAGCTTGAGACGAGTTGGCCTCCCAGGAGCCATGGGCTCTGGTCCCACCCTGAGGGGCACCAGCCACGGGATCAGGTGGCTCGTGGACCTGCGTCGATGCTCTGGCTCCATGTGGACACAGACGTTCCCAGGACACTTACCAGATGTCACACTCTCCAGGTCCCCTGGCTCGGCGTTCCCCTCCTCACCCCTGTATTCTACGCGGCTGCCGACCGCCACCCCAGAGGTGGCTGCATTTCAGGGGGGCT